TAATTTGGCCCCCATACCGGTGTCAGATTACCCAACAAGCAAGGTAAACACACGCCTACTTGTGCTTACTTATTGTTGTTGTTGTTAAGTGCCATCGAGTCGGTTCCGACCCATAGCGACCCTGTACAGGGTTTCCGAGGGTGTAAATCTTTACGGGAGTAGAAAGCCTCATCTTTCTCCCGCGGAGCGGCTAGTAGTTTCGAACCGATGACCTTAAGGTTCGCAGCCCGATTCGTAACCACTACGCTACCAGAGCTCCTTGTGCTTACTTATAGGAGACTAGTAATGAAGCACAAGTAAGCCAATGCTTACCTTAATTATTGGGTAATCTACCCCTCATCACACTTCTATGCAGAATCACAGATACCCAGCCTGGTTAAAACTTGTATTATTTAAAACTTCTCACATTATCCAAGCCTGAACATGCCCTTCCACTATCCCTTTTCCCCATTTCATAGTCAGGTATACTGAATAGTGTGAATTCTGATCCAATGGAGGGTCCAAATCTCAACAGGATATACAAGGCTGATTATATAATTTTGTGCATATCAGAAATGGCAATTCTGTCATTTGGATGGAATTTAAAGGAAATCAGTGGCTTTGATGATCAGCATTTCTTCTCCTAAGTGACTCTATTTCGTTTATCTTCTGGAGCTTCTCTGTACTAGTGCCAAACAGGCAAATGCCACCCTTACTTACTTCCCAGGAGATGCGTTGATCACATCTCCCCAATGCAAAGATGCTTAGAGTTCAGCAGTGCCACTTGCAGCTAACTGGCTCTAATTCCTGTGGATGCAACTAGCTAGCCCTCCTCCCTGTCTGGACTAATGCCAGTCTACTTAAGGAGATAATTGACCACAAACCAGCCTGACTGACAGGTTTCCTAAGCGCCAGATGCCAACTGTGCCAATTCCAGCCTTTGTAGGAGGTCTTCTTCTCCTTGGTACTGCAGTAGAAATAGCTTCACTTTCTCTCAACCTTTTGCCTTCTTCTTAGCTTCCCAAGAAAGTAAAATCAAATAGAACATCCCAGGTTATTTTTCTTCTACTTTTATTTCAACATCTACAAGAAACCTCCCCTCCACCCCAATCCTCATTGCTCCTCTCTACCTTTCTTAGGGTTCTGTGCATTTATTCAACAGGGGCATGGGGTAAGTAAATAGTCTTTTCTACCTGAAAACCTGAAGCATAATTCTTATTATTCCCACAGTGTTTAGCCTACCAAGAGTAATTTCTATTAAAATTATAAACTGAGATTATCATGATTTTATAAGTGCCCCACTTCCATCTCACACTTGTCCAGACTTATTTTTTCTTTATTGCAGCATGTGCCTAGAGAGTTCTTGAATACTTGTGAGATCAGATTAGATCACCAATTTATTTGAGCATAACCAAAACATCATGGCTAATTCATTATTCTTGTACCCATTTGAGTGGCTCTCTTTTCTTGCCAGGACACAATTTATGAATGGCTTGACTCCTATTAACACTTTAAAAATAAGCACTAAATCTGGCTTCAATGCCTTTAAGTGGGTGTTTCTTGGCATATGGGTATAAGAATGTGATTCTGGTGGGGGACAATGCATAGAGGCTTGGAATTCAACCAGTCCTGGCATCTTGCAGAGGTCTGTGGAAACTAATCCTGCCAGGTTCCCAGGGCATGGGTCGATTGTGGCGATGAAAAGCTTCATAATGCAGGGATAGTGCAACAGTAGATCCCGTTTTAGTCAAGGAGGGTTTTCAAGGTGGTGTTGAGTGCTATAATCGAGGCCTCCCTTGGAATCAGAAAGAAACCGTGATGGTGCCGTGGTTAAGCAGTGGGCTACTCACCAAACGGTGAGTGTTTCAGTCTCTCAATGGGAGAGAAATGTGTCAATCTGCTTCTGTAAAGACTGTTGTTGTTGTTGTTAAGTGCTGTTGAGTTGGTTCGTACTCATAGCGACCCTTATAAGGTTTCCAAGGAGTAGCTGGTGGGTTTGAACTGTCGACCTTGTGGTTCACAGTCCAGTGCTGATGCTACAGCACCACACCAGAAGTCCTCTGTAAAGATTACAGCCTTGAAAACCCAGTGAGGGCGCTTCTACTTTGTCCTAAAGCGTCGCTATGAGGTGGAATTACTCTAAGGCACCGGTTTTGAGTTTTGGGGGATGGAGACCTTGGCAGAAAAGCCACTGCCTCCCCCCACCCCACCCCAACGCTGCACTTCCCTTGGGTCTCAGGGACTCCTGGATGAAGTTGAGTAGAAAGAAATGATCATTAAACCTACTCTCCCATATTCTACATCTCTCCCTACCATAAAAACAAAACTACAGTGTTTTCCCCCTACTCTGGTAGGAATTCTACCGCAGGGATTGGATATGGGGGAAGGGTGAAGAAGAATTTTATATCCTTCTCAGCGTCTGCGTCCCATAAGCTCCCCTTTTCTCCACAGGAATCACTTGACCAGCCCTCGAGTCCCGAACGTCGCTTTGGACCGCGCCTCTCTCCCGGACATGGGACCGCTGGCATCGCTAAAAAAAAACTGACAGATGGAGAAGAAAGATCTTCTTTTAAACAAACACTGTGGGTTCCACAGTCCCCTTCTTAGGGCCGCGTGACTTGTCAACCCTAAACTAAGGTCCGGGTCACTAACTCACAGGGCCAGAGAAGCCAGACTCCTAAGTTCCTCCAAATCTATGACCCTCGCATCATGTCCTCCCCTTATGGTGTCTATGTTTCAGCTGCAGCAGAGTTTTTAGAAAAACCCTGTAAGGAACTCTAGGAGAGTCCCAAACCAGGACTCTCTAGTTTTTTGAGACCTCAACGAGGGAGGGCCCAAAAGTTAGCCGCACGCAGTAATGGGACTTGTATTAAAGGATGTGTAAAAACATAACGTACGTCCACCCCATCTCATTAAGTATAGGGCATCTTGTTGGCTAATTTCTTCTGATGAAAGGTCAGAAGAGGTTTCCGTTGGACCTGATTGGGCAGAAAGAAGACTAGTTGAAGAAGACTTGCCCGAGGGTGGAGAGTAGAAGCCCGGCAGCGGCTCGAAGCCCAAGCGGGGATTCGGACACCAGGCGGAGACGACTCTCGGCACAGCTCCGCAGAGGCTGCGGCCGACGGCTATTACTGCTGCTTCGGGACGCAACCCAGAGCCCGCGCTCAACAGGTCCCGCCCGGCCTAGTTTGGCGCCCTCCGCCAGGTTTGCAGTTTAAAGGGACGCCGCCGGGCGACCAGCCAGCTGGCATGGAGCTCTGGGTCGCCCCCAGCCCAGAGGACCTCGGAAAAGACGAAAAGGCGGTTAGTGGTCGTGGTCATGGCATGCCTCTTATATGAGGCGAAGAACCTCATATAAGAATAGAAAAAAAAAATTCACTGTTGCCGGGTTTTGCTAATTTATTGTCTAACATTGTTAGGGAATTAATGATAAACATGGGTAGAAAAGGGATAATCTTGTTAGTGGATAAAAGAAGCCTAGCAACAAATCTGTCCCTCCTGGTGAACTCACCCCCTTTGAAGCTCTAAATTTAAGAAATTAAGGGTTCTAGGAAGAAGAAAAGGTTTGCAAAGTTCCCTGGGCCATGTAACTGAGCACTCAAACCGCGGTCTTCTCTCTCGAGAAGCGAGACACCTTCACTTCACAAATGCACGGGCATATTCAGAGAGAAGCTTTAATGAAGAACACCGCGTACAATACCCGCAGACATGAAGAACCTGTCACAAAGTCACAACCCGAACGCGGCGCGGACATAAGCCAGAGGCGATTTAGAGGCAAAGGGCAGTTGCCTCTTTCCTACTCCGCCCGTCTTCGTTCCTAAAAGTTTATTTAAAGTGCTATTCCCGGGGCTCAAGAAAAGGGGGAAGGGACCACGCCAACAGCAAGGCAAGTTTCTTTTTCAATCACGAATTTAAACTAAAGAATTCTGAAAGACAGACGTGCCCACATAGAACACCAAATTGACAGCAGTGTGCAAAGGCGATAGGCTCATCCCCTCGCTGCTGTCCAGAGGAAGCTGGAAGAGAACCGCCACCAGCAACAGTGCGGGAGATGTGGCAGGTTTCCTTGCATTCATAAATTAGGGGGACAAAATCCCGTTATGTAAGGTTGCTTTTTCCTTTTCTTTAAAATTCCAAATGGAACGGATCGTGGGAATTCACATTATTCTTGGACTCCTTAAGGCTCTCATCCGATTGATATACTAATAAATTTCATGTGGAAAGGCGCCTTGATTGTCTCTCTTTGGTTGTGTTTACTGAACTTTACTTATGGAATGTGGAGCTTTGCTCTTTAAGCCGCTGTCATTCTCTTTTGTGCAAACAAGTTGCTTTAGCGGTTCCTTCCATCTTTCTCGACCTCCGGGTCAGAGCCAGGAAACGTAACTGCATTTCCCAAAGATCCTTGGTAGGGTTTCCACCCTCTAAGGCGACTTTATTCACGACGCCTTGCTGTCTCCCATTTAACTGATCAGGAAAATTACGATACAAAACTCTCTCTTTTCCTTCTCAATCACAACGAGATATCCATAGTGAATTAACAGTTCATAAGAAATGCCTGCCTGGGGCAGATAACAAACGGAGAGAAGCTCGTGGATGAGATCTGTTTCAGCGCCACTCTCGGCTGGATTTTTCCTGGGGGAAGTTTAGCTCCAACAGCTTCAGCTTCCAAGATTTGTCAGGGAATGAGGCCTTCCCCCATACTTTCTCTCCCTCTCCCCATAATTTACTGATTTATAATATTAATTACAATAGAAATTCTTACCTGAAAATGGACTTTCATTAATCTGATTGTACTACATAGTATAATCACAGATAACAAAAGTATAATACGAGTATTTATTTAGACCACTGGGGAATCCACTTTCCGGGTTTGTTTGATTCAGTATCTTCTTTTCCAGTATAGGCTCTGACCTGCCGGGTCTGCCCAGTGCGTTCAGGGCGCCCTCTTCCTCTGGGGCGATTGTTGCTGTCCCGGGCCTGGCCCTTCCGCACGCGTTCGACACTGCCAGCTCGCGGGCCCCCTAGGAATGTACTAGCACGGAGTGCAGGGCGCTGCCCTTGCTGTCCGCGGTACTCGGGGCTGTGGGCTGCAGAGAGGCAGCGGGCGATGCTGTAGCCGGGCACACAGTGGACGGTGCGGGCGGCTGCTGAGTTGCGGCTGGGATGGTGAGCGCCGGCGGCAGTGCGGCCACCGGCGGCAGTGCGGGCGTGGGTTTGATGGGCACGGGCACTGCAGGCAGGTTTTGACTTGCTGAATGACACAGGGCCTTGACCGGCACACCGAAGGCCCCATACTCCGGGCTCACAGGGACGCCCGCAGCGGCAGCAGCGGCAGCGGCTGCGGCCACCGAATCCATGACACCGACGTGCGGCCACACGGAGCTGACTACGTTGCCGAGTTGGCCAGGCACTGGGTAGCCTAGGTGGTGCATGACGGACGCCAAGGGCAACCCGCCGGCCTGCAGTACGCCCTTGTAGTCTCGGCCGATGATGTTCTCAATGGCGAACGGGTGCTTGAAGCCCGACGTGGATGCAGCGGCAGCTGCGGCGGCGGCGGCGGCAGAGCCCAGCCCGTAAGGCTGAAACTGCGACAGGCGCCCCACGCTGCCCACGGCTGCGGCCGCTGCGGCTGCGGCGGCTGCGGCCACGGCTGCGGCCTCCTGCATCTTGCCAGGATGGGACGGCTGATGCGGCTGCGACTGCTGGGGTGGCTGTGGCTGTGGCTGCGACGAGAGGTGAGGCGGCGGTTGCGGAGCAGTAGGCGGCTGCTGGTGGAAATAGTGTACCATGTGCGGCGGCGGCGGCGGCGGTGGAGGCTGGGGTGGGTGATGGTGATGGTGATGGTGATGCGCAGCAGCGTGGTGGTGATGGTGGTGGTGGTGGGGATGGTGGGGATGAAGGTGCCCTCCTGGTCCGGCGCCCGGCGCACTCTTGGTGTTGCCAGCGTGCAGGTGAGCGTGGTCCGCACGCAACACCTTGAAGCGTTTACGGCGCCGCAAGAAGCTGCCGTTCTCGAACATGTCGCCGCAGTCGGGGTGCAGCGCCCAGAAGCTGCCCTTTCCAGGCTGGTCCGGCCGTCGCGGGATCTTGATGAAGCAGTCGTTGAAGGAGAGGTTGTGGCGAAGGCTGTTCTGCCAACGCTGCGTGTGCTCACGGTAGTAAGGGAAGCGCTCCATGATGAACTTGTAAATGTCGCTCAGCGGCAGCATCTTCTCTGCAGAGTGCTGAATAGCCATAGCAGTCAGTGAGATATACGAGTAGGGCGGCTTTTGGTCGCTATACGAGCTTTTCCCCGGCCGAGGCATCGCCCCGGGTGCCTCCACCGCCCTCTGGCCCACACTGGGCCTCAGCGTCGCTCCGAACCGGCTCCGGAGGCCTGGTTGCCCCCGCTAGTCCCCACAGCGCCCGCCCTCTCTTCCCTGAGACTCTATTTGCAGTCTCTCTCTGGCCTTCTCCAAGCTGCCTAGGACCTCCTGGTTGGCGCTTTCGAAGCAACTCAGCTCCTGGACTCTCGCAACTTCTGACCCCGACGGTCGAGGCTCACAGGAGCGGGCGGGGCGCGCCAGCTTTATGCCGCCTTCTCTGAGTCTTTCCTTCCGGCTGCCAAAGGCTGAGAGCTGGAGATGGAGGGAGAGATGTGAGTGGCGACAAGTCGTGCTCCTCTCCAGTCTTCGTCTTGCTTTTTCTATGTCCGAAGGAAGCCCAGGCCAAGTCGGCTTGGAGGAAGGACGGTGCAATCGGTACTCTGGCCCTTTAAAGCCGAGTTGCCGCTTGCGATCCTGGTGCTGCACTGGAGTGGACAAACGAGAGCCCTGGACGATACCTCCGGGCCCGGCACTTAGCTAATATGCGCAGGCGTTCGGGATTTCCTGGAGGAGAGAAGCAAGGTAAGCTGAGGGAAGCTCCACTCCTGAGTTTTCGCCTCCTTTTTCTCCCACGGCTCTCAGCAGAGCTCCGGATGGAAGAGACACCAAAGTCCAAGGAGGTCGCTTTAGGGAAAAGTTTGGTGGTTTCTGCAGCAACGGCGCCAGCAAACTCTGCGGAGGGGCGGGAGCCGCAAGACGCTAGGCGTCAGCAGTCAGTTGGTGAGGGTGAATGGGAGCCGGAGACTGGCTGACACCGACCGGCTCAGCCGTCCGCTCAGTATCTGCCTCCACTCTACCCTCTCGCCTAGAGGAGAGGCTGCTGCGTCGTCGGCTATGTCAGCTACGCACTCTCCAGGCTGCGTTTTGTAATGGTCCGGGAGATGCTGAGACCCCCGCAGCTCGCGCTTCGAGACTATCACATGACCGAGGCTGAGGGACTCCGCCGCCGCCGCCGCGTCTCTCGCAGAAGGGGCAAGAAGGCGCCTCCGCCCCCTCCTCCGCCTCCATTCGGGCGCTTCCACCCCCAGCATTCACCAGGAGCTCCGCAGTCTCCAACCGCGGCTGTTTTGGGCGGGGAGCGCAGGCTGCCCGCTGGGAGGGGGCAAAGCGTTTGCCGAGGTCCTCGCTACTGCGTCCCACCGGGGCCGCGACATGCGGGGGGACAGAGCACTGCTTTTTCTCCCCTCCTTTCCAGGCATCTTCCTCCTGTCCCCGCCCTATTACCCTTCTGTCTTCCTAAGTATCCACTGGAGATTCTTCTTCGGTCACTTCCCGTTCTCTATGACTAGCCACTCTGGGTCAAACCAGGAGCACCTTTTTCTCATGTCCCTTTCTCCAGCAAGACATCCAGAAGGCTGGAGGGCTAGAGGGAACAGCTAATGGGGTAGGAAAGCGTCAAATACCAAATGAGGCGCTTTCGTCAAAAATCAAGTACATCACAATTTTCTGTCGCTCACATTACCTGTCAGGCCTGGTGCCCGGCGTTAAGCAAGAGGCACTCTGCGTTTCTCGATCGCAGTCGAGAGGGAGAGACTGACCTAGGAAATAAGGTTAGAAAGAGTAGTAAGGGTGGATAAGGTGCCACCACGCTTCCTACGTACTGACTCCTGGACAGGGTCAGGCGTTTCTCTAGATTGGTGACGTCTCAACGGGGGCCAGAGGGAGGAGTTCCTGGGGTCCCATCACCTGGATATATGGAACGAAGTCTCTGCTATTCTTACTAACACTTAAAAAGAATGGTAGAGAATTAAACTTAAATAGGTCAAATCATCATCACACAAGACCATGATGTGATCTGCGAAGGAAAAGGGAAAGATGGATGAGCCGCGGCGCTGAGTCCTCTGGCCTTGGTTCTCCCGTTCCCCCTGCCACGTC